ACTAGTAGGATTATGGCAATCTAAACTTCCCTACAATCTAGATATGGCTCTAGAGGATGCAGGCAAAGATGACATTTTATGCAAGGTATTCCATGATAGTGTAGCTAGAAAGCTATTTGAAAAATTAGTTGTTAAAGTCCAAAAGAAAACAGAAGGTGTTTTGTTGCCTGTGGAATTGATTTCTGAGACTTGTTACACACCTTCTGAGAGAAAAATGGATGTGCCTTTGACTTATTTGTGCAAACTGGAAACTGTTTTTACTGAGAGATTTGAAGGCAATGACTTTCTTGAAGACAAGTATTTGGACGACATACCAAAAGATCTGAAATCTCATGAAAAAACTGTTGCTCTTTGTGCTGCATTCATTAAAAGGAATAAAGCATTTTGGGGTACATAATATAACTATTATTAATTGATAAAACATCTCTGATAAATCTGAATGTTGAAATGAAGGCTACAGTAAAGTTGCCAAAGGCAAAGGAAATTCAAAATTATATCTTATTCAAGTTGCGACTGGTGTCAGCTACACTGGTGCTACATTTGCATGGGTTCACGAAGCATATGGAGATTAAAAAACGTACAATATTTCAAAGTGCCAAAAGTCACATTTCATGTTGTTGTGATCAGCCATATGGCGACATCAAACATTTTACATTTTCCAGATGAATGACCATGTTAAATGGTTTTTAAGCAGGTCCCTTCCCAAGTAACTGTAATCCCTACCTTGGCAAACTTACATGGATGATGCATCTACATCTGCACCCCAAACTTGCATATGGCAGATGCTGAAAACGTACATTTTCCAAAAGTGCTAAAAGTTAAATATGCAACAGTCAACTTGACAAAAATAACAATAAGCAGCGGTTACAACCAAACTTGACGGATTGAATACCATTACTTGGATTTAACGATTTGCCTTAGTAGTTAAACAGCAGTAGATATCATTTGTCGAAGTGAGTTTCGTAATCTTTGATTGCCTATGTTTTGAAATAGAACTCAAAGGTTTGGTCTAATTTTAATACACTATTCTTTAATATAATACATGTATTGGTTTTTACAACATAATCCTGGTGTTCACATACTAACCATTAAGATTCAAATAAGAATTCATCCTTGAAATTCTTTCAATAATTTACTGAATCCTAACAGTCATATCATAGTAGACCACGTCATACCATCTCATGATGACAAAAAGAACATTCATATATTGCTTAAAGTGACAATACGGCGCACCTGTTCAAAAACAGCCTTATCAAAATTTTCCTATAAGGATATGGAAATAACGGGTTAGGAATTTTTATCATACTCATAAATGTACAAACACTTTCAGAAAATTACAAATTTCAGAAGTAAATAATTATGATTATTTTATTAAAATTAATAATTATTTATGGCCCATAAATATATACATTGCAACGTGTTCGAAGTTCCACATTCCTTGCTATACACGCATGCGTATGGGTTTCATAAACAAAACAGCATGGTAAGAGAGGCCTCGAAGCCCGGTAGGCCTGCTACGTTGACAAAGCCGACAAAAACGAAAAAGAAAAGCTTGAAATTAAAAAGTAACTTTCTTAACAAAAATTTAGTTGGGAGATTAATATAATCATTGGATGAAGAAGATCATTGGATCTCCGCGACATTCACGTGGGGCTCGCGAAGGTTCTAAACTACAGATTTGTTGTTAAAACATTTCTGTGACGTCATCTTTTGTTAAACCTGGTTCAATAAATTTGTTATTGTCCTGCACCCCGTCCAATAAGTTACCTGTAGGTGTCCAATAAGTTTCAACTTATTGGACAGGTACAGGTAACGTTAAAATGAGAACAAAGAACGAGACAAATAAGTAAACAGCATTTAAAAGGCAATGACAAATCTAACACTTTAATATGAACAACGTAGGAAAATAGCAGGCTAGCGTTAAATGTTAGTATTTCACGAAAAATCCTATTGAAAATGGCACAAAAAATCCAGTGAATTGAATGTCTCAGATTCATGATTGTAGACGCATCCGTGGCTCCGATCATAAAGTTCCTGAATTCACCGTTCATTGCTATATAATAGATTCATTTCCCAATGTTTGATTCACGGAACATAATATAAAAAATGGACACAAAGAATTAAAAGAAGAATGCGTTTTCTTAAACACAACTTTGGGCTTTTTGTTTATTGAAATATCCATTTTTCCGCATTTAGCACAAAATTTTGCTCACAAAATTCCAACAGAATCTGTAATTTTGTTCAGTGATTTATTACCATTTGTGCACCTAGTCACACGTCGTTTGAGCGAGTTTCTGTCGTTGTTTTAAGGAGTGGCTGGGGTAAAAATCCTCCCGAGTTCGAAACCTGCACACAAAAGAGAAAATGTTGCATTTAAAAAAAATACACCAGAAATAACCTCCCAATTTCAAAGAAAATGCTTAAACAGTTGAAGGATTAAAATACTTCAAATCCTATTGCTTTACAAAAATAACCTGTTAACGGGAAATTCAAACATTAGTATATATCCGGATTTCAAATAAAAACTTGAACTGAGGCATCTTGGTGTAATCGGTAAATGGCATTGTCAAAACACCTAATTCTGAGGTATTTTTTTTCAAAATCAAAATGCACGTCGTCATCCGTGGTCGTTGCGTTGTAAAATTAATAAATTGTCAAGAATTTAGAAGAACTGACTTTTACGCATGCGTAGTTTAGATAACAAATGCCGCAATGCGGACAAATAAGACTAAACAAAGTTAATGTTCATATTAATCGATATAAAACACCTCTCAATGATTCCTACAATTAATAAAATCAGAAAAAAAAACAAAAACTGGTTTTCTTTGGCCTAACTTGATGAGCAGTGCCAGGTAGTCATTCAAGCAAAACGAGACCTTACCTGTAGCTGTCCAATAAGTTAACAATGGAAGTGTTCGACAATGGTGAAATGTTTTAAATAAGTTATAAGCCTCAAACTGTCCATTATGTCAGATATAAGACTCACCTCGGCGCTAACGCGCCTCGTGTCGTCTAATATCGGACATAATGGACAGTTTTCGTCTTATAACCATTACATACATGGTATCATTTCTCGTATCTTCATGGCTTTTTTAAAAAAATCAGTGTAAATTCAACATTAAAATGCACTTATGACATACAAAATTTATTGCCATTTGAAGTGCAAATTGTATTGGTGTTACAGGTCTTATCAAGACCTGGACACTGTTTATTATGTTCGATGATCGAGCCCTAAAATGTAAACATAAACATTAATATATGTAAATCTGCAAAGCATAAAATAACGAGCATAAACAAACATACATCACATGAAATATAATGGTATGACAAAATGTTCAATATTATGCTTTACCTCATGATAAATATATACAGTGCTGCACTCTGAACAAAGGGCAATAACTCTTAATTTTAACTTAACAGATTCATAGGGCTTTACAGATAAAACATAAAATATAAGTAAAAAATAGATTTTGATGATTAAGCTTGGTAAATCAAAAATATTTATCAAACATACTTTATAACCAATAGCTTCATTAACCAGTTCAAATAATCAAACACATTCAATATTTCAACAAATTTTACTAAATCTGACCTTACTACATTGGAACTGCAGAAAGACTAATATGTTAAATCTTAATCGTTTACCGGAGAGTTGAGATATTTTGATTCTCAGAGTTGCTTTTACTTAATATTCCATCATAATTGTAAACCCTACATTGTATGCGCGTGCCATTTTAGAATTCACGTGGTACAAGTAAACAGATCTAAGTTATACGACCCTTGATTTTCCGGCAGATTCTAATTACGTTAATTTTGTTTGAGGAAGGAATATTTATTTTTCTCAAATGCTTACTTCAACTTTTTACCTTATTCCTGAATGATATATTGGGTAAATTTGAATGAAAAAGCACACGACTTGCAGCCGTATTGCCGCTTTAACTAGACGCAACAATAACTACAGTAAAACTCGTTTAGTACGAAGACAGATATAGCGAATTTACGGTTATAGCGAAGTTTTTTTCTAGGTCCCCGGCAAAATTCTTAACAAATCTTTGTAAAAATTTACGTTTATAACGAACTCTGATACAACGAATTTACGGATATAGCGAACTCATTTTGAGTTCCGTTGAGGTTAGATATAATGAAATTTAAATCTTTTATAACGAACTTTCAAAGATATCAAAATTTGATAGATTGGACTAACTTTATTTCTTTTAGCTTTTGTATATATAAAATTCAGTTCATAACAACACTTTAGTTATCTAAGGTATGTTTTGTAGAATTTGCTTCCGTTACGTATTTGGTAGTAATACTCGAAGGAAAACTTGCATATTGCTAAGTCGCTTTATATGGTTATACAAATTCGTTATACGGATATAACGAATTACGGATATAGCGAATTAAATTCACAGGTCCCCAGGACTTCACTATAACCGAGTTTTACTGTATTGCAGAATGCTAAAATAACTGAATATAAATTTACTGATAAAACGTCGTTTGTAAATCTTGATGTGGAATAGAATGCCACACAACGAGTCCTTTTTCATACATTATTTTTAATTTAAAAAGTTCTACTTTATAAGAATACAAGTCGGCCTGTCAATGAATATAATTTGTTGGTATCTAAATCCTGAGAGACTGTTTACAGAAATCGTCTTCAGAAGTATTTAGATATGAGAATGAGGAACTCCGCATGCCACTATTATCGAAATACAGAAAAGTAAATTGATTTGAAGTTTCAGAGTATTTTTTACTTTGGATCAAAGCGGAAAACTGTAGAGTGAAGAGAGTGAAAATAAATTATATAATTACGTCCTGAACATTAACATATTACTTATTGTAAGCTTATCCAACTGGCAAGTATTTCCTGTAAATAAATTGAAAAAAATTAGCCGCCAAAACCCGGATGAATACTTTTAAGTATAGCTGTTATTATATCTCTTTTCGAAAAGTGATATTCAATTACATATGTTCATCATATAGGTTTTTTTAACACAGTAGTGTAATAGGGCTTTCCAAAAACTTTTGGGATTTAAGTATGAATGTATAAAAGAAATCTTTCGCAATCAGCAAATGAACAAGGATGACTTCTCTCAACATGTCAACCGTCATGTAAGTAAGAACAAAATTAACATTACAGTTATATGAAGTATTGTAACATTAACTGTTTAACTCTTCTTATTCATTATGTTTTCTCATCTTAGTACGGAGGAAATGCAGCACATGTCACAGATGGTGTTTGTGGGATTCTGCAGCAAACTTGGAACGTCAGAACAGGTGACAATGAGGAGAGATGTAGGTGATTTCAGTGAATTGATGATGATTTTGTTCAGTGAAACAAATCCCGAATTTCGTGTAATGTTTAGTGGGAGCCATAAAGAAGGATTCCGCCTGAACGAGTCTGACAGGGATATAATGATCTCCCTTGATAACTATCGAGTCACGTGGGATTTATCACAGACTCAGCGTTATAGCAGACATACACTGGTTCTTTCTGACTGCTCCAAAAGCCCACCAGGATTCACGCTCCTCCAGTTGCTCTTACCAGCCGTAACAACAACACAAATTTGGTCAGCATGCTTTTCCATGCATGGAAAATTATATATCTCTAGCTCCAGATTCCGAAATACTATGTATTTACCGTCGAGGCCTGATTCCCATGCTCATGGACCTTGTAGGAGTGGAACTTTCAAAGGAGTAGATTTTGAGATTTTGACGATATATATATATATATATGGAGACATAATCTTCATGTTTTATCCTCAGTATGTAAGTGGGGAATGTGTCCTAACTTTTAACTAAGATAAGTCCCTGAAGAGTTTTCCGCCTTTGCTTTTAATCAGTAAAATTTATTTTAAAATATGCTATCTGGTGAAAAAGTATTTTTGAGCATTTTTCTATTCTTTATGATTATATAGTACATCTTTCCACCATAGCATCTGCTTTAAATTCATAGAATTTAAATTTGTACTTTAAAAAATTGCTTGTTCCCACAGACCTCAATGATTTCTTAATTAATTACTGCTAGGGTTTTTATAATTTTGAATATTACACCTGATAAATCCTTTTCTACTCTAAACTGCTTTGAATTAGTTTAATACAGAATGGATATTTAAGGTAAGAAAATTGCGTGCTTTTATGGATCGGATACCTTAAGGTCATCTGGCGTGTCATTGATGTAGAATAGGCATGGTCAAAGGACTGGCCCTCGGGACCCACTGGTCAGACTTAATTCTAACTTATCAGGGAAATTATTAACAACTATACAGCTACCGTTCTGTTGGATTGATTGATTGATTGTATATTGTTTAACGTCCCTCTTGAGAACTTTTCACTCAAATGAAAACGTCGCCGTATGCGGGTGAAGGGCTTCAAATTAAAACGTATCCTCGGCACTCAGGGCCATTTAGCATTAAGGTTCTTTATCTTGCCAGTGCCTACCGTGACACGGGACCTACGTTTTTAAGGTAATATCCGAAAGACCCGTGACTTTCACTTCTACTGCCTAGCGCTTGGCGAAGGAATAGTCGTTACCTTTGTTTACGTCTTAGGTATGACGCGGTGCCGCGAACGAGAATCGATCCAGGGCCTCCCGATCACAAAGCGAACGCTCTACCACTAGGTTACCGTGACCGGTTTTGTTCCGTTGGAAAGGAAGCTAGAAATCCAAATGTTCATTTTGTAAAGTGTTTCACATACTAGTAGTATCCTGCCTTATGGATGAAGAATCTATGTCTAACTTTGTGGAAAGCTTCCTAGAAATTTGTGATCAAGACATATGTCTTGTTTCCAGCAGTCATGTTGGTGGTGAAACCATCTTAATCTCCACACATGAGCTGGGTTTTCATGATCTTTTGCCAAGGAAACACAAAATACCAGGAGCTTTCTGTATCCCCCATCAGGGATTTGCCCTACACATATTGGGGGCCTTCAGGCGGCCCCCAGACCCCTTTCCCGATCGAAGTTATCCACGCCCCCATATTAAATGAAGTTTGCACTGAATGACGTAAGTTTAAATGGTGGAAGAAGGATATGGAGATAACGAACAGTATTTAATCTCAACGTCTATTAAACAATATACAAATAAGAGCGGAGCAAACACGGACCTCCGAAATGTTGGAAGTTGATTTGATAATATTATTTGTCGTTTACGGGATCAAATATGGCCGACCCGATTGAACTCAGAAGCTAATCAAAGTTGAAAATAGAGCTGATTTCTCGAGACGGACGCTCAACGGTCCCTAAAATAAAATGAAACAAGAATATCAACAGTCTCGTTTAAAGTCATCATTTCGTAAATTCTATGAAAGATACAATGACCTTGTCAGCAAATACAATTTATCATTGAATGAAATGCTGACTGACGTTTTTCATACCAATTGTTAGTCCATTATTCATACACTGAATTGACCACGGATTTTTTTGCGTTATTTCCTGATTATGACAACGAGGACACGGCGGGTGTCACTGGTCGGCAGGGATGCTCACTCCTCCATGGCACCTGATCCCACCTCTGATGTTTCGGAGGTCCGTGTTTGCTCTGCTCTTATTTTGTATATTTGTTTAATGGACGATGAGATTGAATACTGTTCGTTATTTCCATATTCTTCATTGTGATGATGACCAAACGCAGTTATATTTTTAAACGTTGCTCTAAGATAAAGTGCAACATTGACAAGTGCGGTAAAATTAAAATAAAAATACACACGAAAATAAAACTTGCTCTAATATTCTCCTTAAATTTCAATGCATAACATAAAAATTTTTTAACACAGTATAAAAATAAACTAATTTATAACTTGTAAGATATAGACGTAGATGTAAGGTATGTCTGCTCTTCTTTGTTCTTTTACGGAAAAAGAAATACCAAGGATTTGACTAAAATACCAAAAGTTGAAAGATCAGGGAAACACTAATGACTCAACAACCCCAAATATGGGCCTCTCTAATAACACAATTTAATTTTCAGCAAAAAATCGAAATATGAACAATTTCTAACGAGAGTTAAATGAAGCGAGCAGTCTTGTTTAAAGTCATCATTTCGTAAGAATATAAGCAGTCTTGCTTAAAGTCATCATTTCGTAAGTTCTATGGTCGATACAATGACCTTATTAAAAAAATCAATTTAGCAGTTAGTCAAATGCTGACTGACTTTTCATACCAATTGTTAGTTCATTATTTATACACTGAATTGACCACGGATTTTTTCCATTATTTCCCGATCATGACAAGGAGCACACGGCGGGTGTGACAGGTCGGCAGGGGATGCTCACTCCTCCATGATACCTGATTCGAACTCTGATGTTATGGAAGTCCATGTTTGCTCTGCTCCTGTTTTGTATTCTTTTGTGGACTTTTGATCGTTTTCTCCATCTGTTTCATACTTGTAATAATCAAAAACCTTTTATTAAGGGCTTCCATAAATATATGATGTTTTTTAGTTATTTATTTGATGCTTTCTTTTTTATACTATGCCCGTTTTTAGACATTTGTTATACGTAGCGGGTACTAAAGTTTATTGAAAATTTAAAAAAAAAACTTCGAAAGAGTTGGAAACCTGTTGATTGTTGAAACAAAATTATTGCTAAAATACAATATATTTAAATATGAATTCCAACTACAGAAAACAAATACAAATGAAATTGTTTAAAGCATACTCTGGTATTATGCTACCTATCAGGGCTTTTTAAAAAAAAAAACTTAATCTGATTATCAGCCTTTGAAAACTAATCTTTTAACTCTGTCCTTTTCAAATTTTAAAACTTTATTTCCATTATTGGGAATCTGTTTTCTAACATTTAACTCTTACCAAAAATAGAGGCTGTGTTTTTTCTTAAGTATAAGAAAATTATTTGTAGTTTACATCACCATTTTAGGGGCTTAGATGAGAAACATTCTTAAATACAAATTTTAATGAAATGATTATATTGCCAACTACTGCAGTGACAAAGATATAAAATTACTCATTTTTCGAATCTTAATTCGCAAATTTTGATGGAATGTCTACCATATAAGATTTAGATCTCTTAAAAACAATTTGTAAAATTTTAACATTTTTACAATAAATAAAAACTAGAGTAAAATATATAATTCTGTGTGAATTTGCATTCTTAGGTTTTTACTATACAATATCATTGTTGATGCACAAATCGACACAGCTGATATAGTACAGCTGTTGAAACGGGAAATATATAAAAAAAAAAAAAGGAAGTATTGTAACGTGTATGGGTCCGTGAATTTAGGTTTAGATCCTTAATCAAGCGAATGAGTTGAACAAATGATTATGTAGACTAAAGATAGATCACTGATTAAACAAATGATTTGAAATGATAGATGATAAAGCATATGAAAAAATGAACGCGTCAATATATACATATATTATTAGGATTTCCTATCCTATTCATAAACAACAACAACTAAGGCGTATAGGTCTGTGTCCTGGATGGGTCTCCAGCCGGGATGTGTCCTGTACTCGGACAGGTACGGGTCTGCTGGTTTCTGTCCTATACACAGACAGATCTTAAAAATAAAAGCCTCGAGTAAAGTATTTATACTTTATTAAATCTCGAATACTAAATATAATTAAATCCAGTATACTAGACACCGTATACTATGTCACCGTAAGTCTGCATAACTGTTAACTGCTTTATCGTACCTCGCTGAAATCGACCTTTCACTTTGAGCTCCGACTGGCAACTGTTAGCTTTCAACGGAATGCTCATATATATAGTCAGCATCACCCGGACTACCCTCGGCCGCTATCGTAGAGCACTACGATAAAGTCCGGGTGACGTAATTCAGCTAAGCATCCCGAGCCCGATCCGTCACAGTAAAAATAAATTTCTACGAAAGCCCTGAATAAAGAGTTTTTACTCATTACAAGTATGACCAGAATATATTGATGAAACCATCAAATGTCGCCCGGAAAACACATCAAGTAAACAATGGAAATGAGTCTTGATCATCAAACCGCTTCGATATGTATTTAAAAGACATGCATCTAAATGATGGAGACGATATAGTCGAGAATTTTTTGAAAACTGATAGTAGTAAAAACAGAACATAAACGAAACCCTTTTAGGCCAAATGATAAACCATGGATGGACTCTCTTCTAAAGAAAACTTTGCGTATTCGCAATAGACTAAGAAAAATAGCACAAAAAACAAAAAGAGAATCTGATAAGGAAAACTTTCGCAAAGTAAGAATTAAGTTTAATAATATGAAAAAATATGCTATTAAAAACTATTATAATATAGATTCTCATCTTAAGGATGCTAGTCTGAACAATCAAAAACTATACTGGAAGTTACTGAAAGATACTTTTCACATTAAACCGACAAATGAAATTCCACCTATTCAGTTTACAGACAACAGTGGCACTGAAAGTTTTGCATTTTCAGACATAGATAAAATAGAACTATTAAACAAATATTTCACATCAATTACAGAGTTAGATGACAGTAATCAAGAGCTCCCAAATATAGTGTCAAGATGTACGGATAATTTTCCATACATTGAAATACAAGAGCAAGAAATCATTGATATAATTTCTATTATTCCTGTCAATAAAGCAGTTGGTCCTGATTGCATCAGCCATAAAATGTTAAAATCTTGCAAAGAAACTATCTCAAAACCATTGTGTATACTATTCAACAAATCCCTATCACTAAAAACATTTCCAGACTGCTGGAAACTAGCACATGTTCTTCCACTTTTTAAGAAAGATGACCCTTCCATCATTTCAAACTATAGACCAGTCTCTTTGCTAAGTTGTATAAGCAAAATTTAAAAAAAAAAAATAATTTTTAAGCATGTTTACAATTTCTTGTATTCACATAATATATTTTATAAATACCAGGCAGGTTTTTTACCAGGTCATTCCACAGTATATCAACTCTTAGAAACATACCATTCTATTGTAAAAAGTGTTGATGAAGGTCAATTCTGTTGTATGGTGTTTTGTGATTTATCAAAAGCATTTGATAGGGTCTGGCACAAAGGCTTAATTTACAAATTAAAAATGTATGGAATTAATGGGGATATGCTAGATTGGTTTGATAGTTATTTAAGCAAAAGAACCCAACAAGTCATGTATAGAAATCATTTTTCCTCTGTAGGACAAGTAAAAGCGGGAGTTCCCCAGGGCTCAGTACTTGGTCCCCTATTATTTTTATTATATGTAAATGATGTGGCTGAAAATATGATATCTGTTTGTAGATTATTTGCTGATGATAATTCTTTACAACAATGTTCAGATAATGTTAATCATATTGAACAAAATCTTAACCATGATCTTAGAATACTAGATGAATGGTCAAAGAAATGGTTATTGAAATTCAATCCACAGAAAACCAAAGCAGTATTTTTTAATTTGAAAAATGTACAGCATTTTCCTAAATTATTTTTTGACAATTGCCAATTGGAATATGTTACAGAACACAAACATCTTGGGATACTTTTGTCGTCTAACTTAGGATGGTCTGATCATATTGATACCATTATAAAAAAGCATACAAAAAATTGGGGCTTCTTAAAAAATTAAAATTTACTGTGTCAAGAGATATTCTATCCAAGATGTATATATCTTTTATTAGACCACAACTTGAATACCGTATAACTGGATTTTTCTACGGGGTGCTATTTTTTGCGAAATTCTGCGATCAAGTCTTAATCGCAAAAAATTCAATCGCAAAAAATACGTAAATAAAATCCGGAATTTTCAGTTGCGATCATCGAAGTTCTACTTTTACAGATACCGGAAGTATATGTAAACAATGCCATTGCAAGTTTTACATAGTTTTTACAGGTAATTTACTTGATATCAACAACAATGATTGTTTTTCGAATAAATAAAACGAATTCCTAAAGATTCAATATTTATTTGTTCCTACATTGTATTTCATTATTTATTTATATAAAATCCGAATAGCACTATTGTCGGTTTGGCTATTCCGCGGCTTGATCGGATCCTTCACCGGTGTGTACCAT